GAGGGAGACTACTTCCCGGTAAAAGTAGGTTTTAGACAGGGATTGTAATGTCACCATGGTTGTTTAATATATTTATAGATGGGGTTGTAAAGGAATAAATGCTAGGGTGTTTGGGAGAGGGTGGGATTAAATTATGGGGAATCAATTCAAAAGGGGGAATTGACACAGTTATTTTTTGCTGTGATACTGTGCTTATGGGAGATTCTAAAAAAAAATTGCAAAGGTTAGTGGATGAGTTTGGGATGTGTGTAAAGGTAGAAAGTTGAAATAAACTAAAAAAGAGTAAGGTGATGAGGGTGTCAAATGTTTAGATAAAAAAAAATTTGGGATACAAATGGGGAAGGAGTAGGGAAAAGTGAATTTTTTTCAGATACTTGGGAGTTGACTGTCGGGAGGGATTTATGAAGGATAGGAAAATCATAGAATTGAGAGGAAAAAAAAAGGGGAGGGTGCATTGAGGTATAGTGGAGTCAAAAAACGTTATCTATGGGAGGCAAAGAAGGAATTTTTGAAAGATAGTAGTTTCCAACACTCTTATAGGGGGGTGAACTTTTGGGGGTAAATGCAGCAGGGGAGAGACAGTTGGGCAGTGGAGTGCCTTTTTTTAAGGCAAGTGTGGTGTAAATTTAAGCAGAAAATTCGGAGTGTGGAAAATTTTGGGGGAAAGTTGGAGTTAAAAAAAGTATTTGTGAGGGCAAAGAGGGGTTGTTGAGGTGGTTTGGGCATTTAGAGAGAAAGGATCAAAGTAGAATGACATGAAACATAAAAATCTTGGGAAGGAAGGCGGGTAGGGGTCATCCCCGAAGGGTTGGAAAAAGGGGGGAAAGGGGGTTTTTGGGGGAAAGGGGGTTTGGGTTCCAGCAAACGTGCGGGAGTGTGTAATAGGAGTGAATGGAGACAAAAGATACTTGGGGCCGAATCTGTTGGGGTGTAGCGGGAATATTTAGTGAGGGATTCAGGGAAACCGGTTTTTTTCTTAATCGGCTTGGTCCCGGAAATGGGAATACCCCTCCTGCACTTTTAAAGAGGCATTTGGGTATTGGCATTTGGGGATATGTTGTTACTTTATATGTGTATGCTTCTAAACGTTTATTCGAGCACCTCTGCAAAAACATGAAAGTTGATGTGGTGAAAGTGTTGAATGATGATGAAAGTATTTTCTTTTGGGGGGATTTTCTTTTTTTTTTTGGTCCCCTGCCTCGGGGGAGAAAGGCCGATTGTTTAAAAAAAAAAAAAATTATAAAACCTAGGGGATAGGTTGGGGACACAACCACCCAGGGAGGATTACCCTCCTGAATGGGTGGGTGAAGGGTTTTACTGAGGGGTTTTTTGGGGTTTTTTTGTTAAAAGAAAAGGGGGGGTTTTTTTTTATTAATTAGGGAATAAATGGTAAAGATAATAATTAAAATTTGGGGTATGTTTTTTAATTTTGTTTTTTTTTTCAAGGGGGGGAAATTTGGGAAATTTTGAAGAGGGGGTTGAAAAGGTTTAAAATGGGGAAGGGCAAAATAATACTCCTGTTTAAGCCAAAATTTTAAAAAAACCCCCCCCCTCTTTCCCCCTTTTTAAAAAAAATTATAAAAACCTAATAAATTACACATCACCCCCATTGCTTTCACTTTTTTTTTAATTTTCAAATGCCCCCAATTTAAAAAAATTTAAAAAAAATGAAAATTACATGCTAAAGAAGTGTTTTAAATTTTTTCGCAACATATTGGGAATAGTAAATCCTAATTGGGAAAATGACTGCAAATTACTAAGGGTTCCCAAAATGGGTCTTGGCAGTTTTTAAAGGTGAACTTCTAAGACTTACATACTGCATTAGAATATTGTATGTAATAATACAGTGTTTAAACTGGTTAAGCAAGCCTGAATTTTATCCATGTTTTACTTTGATAGAAACCTAAATATTTTACTCCTTTTCTCAGTCTGATGAATATCATTATGGAGTCAATTATGTACAAGAGAGGAAAGACAGTCATGGTTAGGTTAATATTGTTTAATATCATATTTATGTACAGAAAATTAAAAAGTTTTCAAAAATTAATAAAACTTTAAATACAAAATTTGAGAAGGAGCATTAAAAATCATGCAATAAACAAGTGTCATGTGTCAAAAGAATAAGCAGTTGTTGTGTAAGAAGAAATAGTAATGTGTATCTGTGCTGTTAGCCAACACTGCTGCCAATATGTCACTAGTTTAATGACTAGCACATCCAGCTTATATTTTACTACCAATTGAGATGAATGCCATCTGTTTTTGGTGTGGTGTTTTATATCAAATCTGATTATTCAAAATTCAAAACAACTCTCCATTTTTTGTCTTGGTCAAAACTACACACAGTTTTGACATGAACAGCACAGATACTAAAATTATTACCCCTCCCCCCTCCTAAGGAAAAATTAGGCTTTTATTAAACACACACATTAGATTGAAACATTATGTACATTACAGACAGGAGCATATAATAAACTAAAAGCTAGTCTTCAAGGATTGCAATATTACAGAAGCTCTGTTAGGAAATTTACACCTAACCAAATTCTGTCTGGTCATCACATTATGTTAAGTCAACTCTTTAACTGGGCCTGATATTTATTTTGCAGTTTACAAAATTGGGTACAACATAAAAACTGGTTTAGAAAGACACGTAAGCAAACACTATAACATATTTATTAGAAAACGTTTCGGTCCTGGAACCTTGATCACTTCTGTGATCAAGGTTCCAGGACCGAAACGTTTTCTAATAAATATGTTATAGTGTTTGCTTACGTGTCTTTCTAAACCAACTTGTCGGTATTTATTACCAAGGTTTATACCAACATAAAAACTACGTAATGCTGCAAATCTAATTTACACTGGGCAAACCATCTTTCATCTTATGCTTTCAATCTATATCCAGATAAAAAAATGTGTCCTTGATATGTGCCATATAAGTGACAGTCATGGTATAAGGATGTTCTTTGTAGTAGGAAGAAAGCACTGATTTGTTTTGTATAACAGTATTGCACACAGTAGTGATACACTGTATTCATACACAGGGTACAATTTCATGTTTTTATAAAGGTAGTAAATCAATGTATAAAATGGTTTTGTGTTTTACCTTCTATGACCATCACTCAGTGAAACGAACGTTAACCTATAAGTATAGTGTACATAGTTAAATAACCTTAAAAAACAAAATAAATTTTTTATATGTATTATAATACTATGCAGTACAAATATATTTTAGTGTTAATGAAATTACGTCAGCCTTCATTACTAGGTTTCTGGGACCATAATTCACTTAAAGTAATGTGCTAATTTTCTTTTTTCTTTTAAGAAATCTTGTCTCAATGTTTTATATGCTCTTCTATCCTCTATGAATTAAAAAATATATTGTGTATAAGTGTGTGCTTATGTTTTTTTTACTAAAAGACAATGGGAGATTAAATCAATACAAATAAGAAACTGACATTTTTGATGGCTATTTAGGAAAACAGCAGCAGCCTCAATCCCAAGGATCCTGGTTTTCAAGGAATTAACTATCGAGAAACAAAATGATAAGAACCTGGCAAACAAAAACCACACACCTCTGGAAGCATTGAAGATATGAAGACAATTAGTTTTAAAGACAATGACCAACACTAAAATAGAGTTTTCTGCATTCCTGATTCAGCCTGGTCAAATGTGGTACTGTTGAGGCATTCACTGCTACTTCTTAGTTTATCCTGCAAGTCAATAAGCCTGTAAGCTCAAAACAAAAAATATATTCCCAAGCATAAAGCTACTTCAACATATTATACTGTAAATAAAAATATTCATCCCAAGAGCATAATACTCTTATTCATTATTATAAGCATAACAGTTAACTTAGAACACATGTTAGATGGCAAATACAAAATGAAATAAAGCTTGGAAATTCACAGGGGTGTCTCAAAAAATGATATACACATTGCAAGAAATAACAATAAAAATACTATATAATTCAGCAAAATCTAATTTTGTCTCAGTTTAGTACCAATGATAGTTAAAGTGATAACTGTTAACATCAAGGCAGTGTTGACAGCTGTAAATAATGAGTAACAAACTTGCACAATGGATTCTGTAGGAATAGTTCCACAGGACTGCTGAATGTCATGCCAAAGTTTTTGGAGTATAGCTAGGGCTACTAGCTGCACCACATTCAGATGAAACTTGCCACAATAATTTGAACTGACTACTTATTATTTGTTAAAGTGTATACATTTTGGAGATACCATGCATAAAGCATTGTAGGGAAACAAACAGTATTTAAACCCAAGCTAAGACCACAATAAAACAAAGGCTTCAAATCATAAAAATATAAAGCAAAAACTTATTTTACAAGAATTAAAATACAGGTCTCCCAACTTACAAACACCCACACTTACAACAGATTACAACCCATTTGAAACTACAACTGCTTTGTATCAATATGTATATGAAACATAACTTGCACTTTTAAGTGCAAAACCAAAAATTTAAACTTTTTTTTTTTTGTAAGTTGGGGATTTCCTGTGCTGTACAGAATATATTACCTAGAGTAAGGATGCAACACACATACAGGGTCAAGGAAGGTTACATATTAATACAGAAATTCTCAGGGGTAATATAATCCCAAAAGTTAAATATGCCAAGTGTTGTGTATATTTTAAGCAGTTACCAGTAAATGTGTGCAGTTATAAGTAGATGTTTGGAAGAATTTTATGGCTCACGTTTAGTAGCATGCTGTAAAATCTAAAAACCAAGAATAGTTATGACTTCTTGTCCCTATTACATATTTTGAAAAATGGTGTGATTCACGTACAGTATATAAATGAGATACTGTACACTCTACTGACAATCTTTTATAATTAATAAAAGGATGTTAGCTGCATTATATGCAATATATTACAAGCTCAATACAAAACATTAGTAAATACTTTCACCACTGTCAATCAAGTAATTATTAATTAAAGCATGGAGATAAATAGGTGAAATGCAAAACAGGACAAACCACTTACTTCAAATTTATCATAAGTAATTGTAGAATGTAAGGAAGCTTCTATAGAAGTTGATGTTACTGGATTTAGGGGTACCAATGGGTTGCAGTCAGCCAGTGGCTTTCCTCGAGGTGTCTGTGAGAGTATCCACACTAAGTCATGCTCAATTTTTATTAAATATATTTCATGACAATGGGTTACAAAACATTCTGGAAGAGGTAATTTGCAGGAGAAACAATGAATAAGCATGGCATTCTACTACAAAACATGTCACAAAATTGTAATAAATATTTGTACCACAGACAATTATTGGACAGTACTGACTTTTATTTACATTTATTCAAGAGCAATTACATTCGATGCTTGATAACTTAAATTTCTGTGAACTGAACAGTGCAACTCTGTGATCAATTCATCAACTAGACATCAGTTAGTGAATATACTGTATTTATATAAGTTTTTTGTAATCAATGAAATACTGTACTCTAATTGATAAAACTATATACCACATTAAATAATGAAAGATATTTAAATAAATAATAAGTATCATTGCTAGAAATTTATTATCCACCTGACAAAAGTGGTGATACACATTGCTCCCAGGCTTTCACATTCTCTCCATGTTTCTTTTGGCAAAGAGAGGCAAAAAAATAATGTCAAATCCCAAATTGTTTCCCTAGCATTTTTATTAGGATAGTAATAATGTTAAGACAGCAACCGCCCAGGGAGGTACTACTGTCCTGCCAAGTGAGTGTAAAACGAAAGCCTGTAATTGTTTTACGTGATGGTAGGATTGTTGGTGTCCATTTTTCTGTCTCATAAACATGCAAGGTTTCAGGTACGTCTTGCTACTTCTACTTACGCTTAGGTCACACTACACATACATGTACAAGCATATATATACACACCCCTCTGGGTTTTCTTCTATTTTCTTACTAGTTCTTGTTCTTGTTTATTTCCTCTTATCTCCATGGGGAAGTGGAACAGAATTCTTCCTCCATAAGCTATGCGTGTTATAAAAGGCAACTAAAATGCCATGAGCAAGGGGCTAGTAACCCCTTCTCCTGTATAAATTACTAAATTTAAAAAGAGAAACTTTCGTTTTTTCTTTTTGGGCTACCCTGCCTCGGTGGGATACAGCTGGTTTGTTGAAAGAAAAGAAAGTAATAATGTTAATTAGTTATAAATACAACCTCTCCTTACTTAATGCCAGGGTTTTGTTCCTAAGAGTAGGTCGGTAAGCGAATTGGTCGTTAAGTGACAAGCATACTATACTGGTAGTGGGTTTGTGTCAACCACCTTCGGATATTTTTTTTGATGTCACCTTTGCACCATTTATAACACTTCTGGTGTATTTATAATTTTTTATACAGTAGTGTACTGTATACTGTAATAAACAGAATAGAGGAAATCATCTCTAATATAAGTACATTATTTAGGTTTGCATACTGGCTAGAGAGCTGGTCGTAAGTTCGAGTGGTCGGTAAATGAGTATGTCATTCAACAAGGAGTAGCTGTACTCAGTTTTTATCATATGCTCAAAGCTTCCAAAATATACATTATATTGCTAAAGTAACCTTTATGGGTGAGCGAAGTAGTGCTGACTTTGAGGGTGACTTGAACATGACTCCTCCAGGAACTATTAGGTGTTTGGATTTTTTTACACTTCCTACATCATCACCATCTCGAACTCGTTTTTTAGCAGAGCCCAAAACTGATACTGGAGTCCTCATGTGTGGAGTGCCAAGATTTGTACCACGTTTGACATCAACCCCCTTTGCCTGAAGCTGTTGAAAGAAGAGTAAAGTACAAAACTGAAAATGTTTTCAAAATTATAAATAGCAATCAATATTCATTGCTCTCACCAGATCTGAAGCTTCTAGAATTTTGGTGTAGTACTACGGGACCAACACTGGCTCCCAAGCCGTAATACGTATTATGGGACCGACAGTGAAAGGGTTAAAGGAAATTCATGGAAACAGTCAAGGAATAAAAACCTAGGAATAAGTTTTACTATGATAGTTGTCTCAAAGTACACAAACAGAATAGCACTAAAAGCACGTTAATTCACAACTATAGATTACATTCAAATGGATTTGTCAGTTAAAAATAGGAGAGGAGAGTTATTAAATGGAGAGTTAGAGGTATTGGGAAGATGGAAGGAATATTTTGAGGAATTGTTAAATGTTGATGAAGATAGGGAAGCTGTGATTTCGTGTATAGGGCAAGGAGGAATAACATCTTGTAGGAGTGAGGAAGAGCCAGTTGTGAGTGTGGGGGAAGTTCGTGAGGCAGTAGGTAAAATGAAAGGGGGTAAGGCAGCCGGGATTGATGGGATAAAGATAGAAATGTTAAAAGCAGGTGGGGATATAGTTTTGGAGTGGTTGGTGCAATTATTTAATAAATGTATGGAAGAGGGTAAGGTACCTAGGGATTGGCAGAGAGCATGCATAGTTCCTTTGTATAAAGGCAAAGGGGATAAAAGAGAGTGCAAAAATTATAGGGGGATAAGTCTGTTGAGTGTACCTGGTAAAGTGTATGGTAGAGTTATAATTGAAAGAATTAAGAGTAAGACAGAGAATAGGATAGCAGATGAACAAGGAGGCTTTAGGAAAGGTAGGGGGTGTGTGGACCAGGTGTTTACAGTGAAACATATAAGTGAACAGTATTTAGATAAGGCTAAAGAGGTCTTTGTGGCATTTATGGATTTGGAAAAGGCGTATGACAGGGTGGATAGGGGGGCAATGTGGCAGATGTTGCAAGTGTATGGTGTAGGAGGTAGGTTACTGAAAGCAGTGAAGAGTTTTTACGAGGATAGTGAGGCTCAAGTTAGAGTATGTAGGAAAGAGGGAAATTTTTTCCCAGTAAAAGTAGGCCTTAGACAAGGATGTGTGATGTCACCGTGGTTGTTTAATATATTTATAGATGGGGTTGTAAGAGAAGTAAATGCGAGGGTCTTGGCAAGAGGCGTGGAGTTAAAAGATAAAATTAACACACAAAGTGGGAGTTGTCACAGCTGCTCTTTGCTGATGACACTGTGCTCTTGGGAGATTCTGAAGAGAAGTTGCAGAGATTGGTGGATGAATTTGGTAGGGTGTGCAAAAGAAGAAAATTAAAGGTGAATACAGGAAAGAGTAAGGTTATGAGGATAACAAAAAGATTAGGTGATGAAAGATTGAATATCAGATTGGAGGGAGAGAGTATGGAGGAGGTGAACGTATTCAGATATTTGGGAGTGGACGTGTCAGCGGATGGGTCTATGAAAGATGAGGTGAATCATAGAATTGATGAGGGAAAAAGAGTGAGTGGTGCACTTAGGAGTCTGTGGAGACAAAGAACTTTGTCCTTGGAGGCAAAGAGGGGAATGTATGAGAGTATAGTTTTACCAACGCTCTTATATGGGTGTGAAGCGTGGGTGATGAATGTTGCAGCGAGGAGAAGGCTGGAGGCAGTGGAGATGTCATGTCTGAGGGCAATGTGTGGTGTGAATATAATGCAGAGAATTCGTAGTTTGGAAGTTAGGAGGAGGTGCGGGATTACCAAAACTGTTGTCCAGAGGGCTGAGGAAGGGTTGTTGAGGTGGTTCGGACATGTAGAGAGAATGGAGCGAAACAGAATGACTTCAAGAGTGTATCAGTCTGTAGTGGAAGGAAGGCGGGGTAGGGGTCGGCCTAGGAAGGGTTGGAGGGAGGGGGTAAAGGAGGTTTTGTGTGCGAGGGGCTTGGACTTCCAGCAGGCATGCGTGAGCGTGTTTGATAGGAGTGAATGGAGACAAATGGTTTTTAATACTTGACGTGCTGTTGGAGTGTGAGCAAAGTAACATTTATGAAGGGATTCAGGGAAACCGGCAGGCCGGACTTGAGTCCTGGAGATGGGAAGTACAGTGCCTGCACTCTGAAGGAGGGGTGTTAATGTTGCAGTTTAAAAACTGTAGTGTAAAGCACCCTTCTGGCAAGACAGTGATGGAGTGAATGATGGTGAAAGTTTTTCTTTTTCGGGCCACCCTGCCTTGGTGGGAATCGGCCGGTGTGATAATAAAAAATAATAAAAAAGATTACATTCAAGAAACCTACATAGATAAAGATGTGTTCACAACACTTAACTTTTTTTAGTGACACTAAGTCTTTAAAATGCAATACCATTTTGGAATCCTCACCTAGTCAAATACATGGCAAGACTGTCAAAAAAAAAAAAAAAATCAGACAAGTTAATGAATAAACAGTGATGAATCAAGAACTTACTACATGCAGAGAAAAGTAAAAGATTATTTATACGATACCATTACATGAAACTAGTATCATTACAATTAGGCAAAAACATACATACCCTCTTATTTTTTTCAACCTCTTTCTTCACATCATGGGACTCCCAAAGCTCTTCCATGTACTGAGTAATCTGCATGCCATAAATCATAAAAGGTCGACCCTCTCTTTCTTCCCATGCCAACACTCTCTCGATCAGACGTTCTTGCACACGTGGTAGCTCCTGAAAATAAAAAAGTTAAAAATGTGAGTAATATAAGTATCACAGAGTGATCAGTTGTTGATCTGCACTGTTGGTATGTAAATTAGGAATCTCTCAAATTATTGTGTGTGTGTGTGTGTGTGGATGTGAACTAGCCATTGCAACTGAAATTGCTGTACATTTGTAAGTGCAGAGAGCATTAAGAAGTTGCACTCTAGAGTTCCCCATAAGTGAGATAACACTGACTAAACACTGAGTCAAGTTAATTAAATCTTGATTTTAGTTTGTCTTAATTATCATCTTCACTTAAAATTTCAGGCCACGAAGTTTTTAAAATATTGTGCAAATTAATGGTCATCCATTTTGATGAGTGGGGGATGGTGTGTAGACCTATAATTCATTCTTATTCTCATTCATTTTCCATCACTCATGCATTATGAATGATGAAAGAAGGCTATCAGACCATGCTCTCCTAAGCCAATATTTTGTGTGATCTCAAGTAATGGGGAAGTGTGAATGTTCATACTAAGTAATATCATACAATAAAGTAGATAGTGTAAACAACAGCTTCTAGGTTTTTTTTAAGTTAGCCTAGCATTTGTGGCAACCCATGTGGAGGCTACTGTACCAGGCTTTACCCAGATATACAAATCTTCAATCTTATACCAGGACAGGGTTCATAGTCCAATTCATGTTTAATATTAACTCTTTCACTGTCCAGATCCCCCAAAATTAATATTTTTCTAAGTGTCCACTTTAAAAAAAAATTCTTCTGAAATGGGAATCTTTTTCTGAAGACAATGACACCAAAAGTACAAGATTTGATGGAAAAACTTAGAGAAATATACAGGCACAAAGTTAGCAGTCATGGTACAATTTACGATGGTAAAAACATCTCTTGATGGTAACAACATCTCGTGGTACACCAAAGATCGAACAGGTGTTAACAATGTCTCTTGATGCACAGGAAATCAATTATTAATGCATTTAGGGATCATACAGTGCCTGGGGACTGGGAAGTATCAGGTTCAAGGCAAGGCACAAGAGCCCCTCACCTTCATCAAAGAATCTCCATTGAGGGGACCAAAGATCAAAGGAGTCTAGAAAGAGACAAGTGGTACAAACATCTCTTGATGTATAATCCAAGGTGTCAGCAGAGACAGGGTGATACAGATGTTTCTTGATGCACCAGAGATCAAAGGTAGGTAGGTAATTTGGGGAGATGAAGAGAACTTTGACCATGCAGATCATTCAGAACTCTTAGCAATATATATATTTTTTTAACACGTCGCCCGTTTCCCACCATCGCAGGGTAACCAAAAAGAAAAGAAAAACTTAAAAAGAAAGAAAAAACTTTTATCATCATTCAACACTTTCATCATCACTCGTACATAATCACTGTCTTTGCAGAGGCACTAAAATACGACAGTTTAGATGTTCCTCCAAACTGCCAATATCCCAAACCCCTCCTTTAAAGTGCAGGCACTGTACTTCCCAGTTCCAGGACTCAAGTCCAGCTAACCGGTTTCCCTGAATTCCTTCACAAAATATTATCTTGCTCACACACCAACAGCTCGTCAGGTCCCAAAAACCACTCATCTCCATTCACTCCTATCCAACACGCTCATGCATGTTTGCTGGAAGTCCAAGCCCCTCTCCCACAAAGCCTCCTTTACCCCCTCCCTCCAACCTTTTTGAGGAGGACCCCTACTCTGCCTTCCTTTCTCTACAGATTTATATGCTCTCCAAGTCGTTCTACTTCGTTCCTTTCTCTCTAAATGACCAAACCACATCAACAACTCCTCTTCAAGCCTCTGACTAATACTTTTAGTATCTCCACACCTCCTCCTAATTTCCACACTACAAATCCTCTGCATAATATTTACACCACACACTGCCCTTAGACACGACATCTCCACTGCCTGCAGCCTCCTCCTTGCTGTAACATTTACAACCCATACTACACACCCACATAAGTGTGTTGGTACCACTACACTCTTGTACATGGATAATGTTTTTCGTTTCCACAGATACCTCAATGCACCACTCAACACATAATAAAAATAGTGGAACCTTGGCACTCAAGCTTAATTCGTTCCAAAAGGCTGTTCAAGTGCCGATCTGTTCAAGTACAGAACGAATTTTTTCCAATCAATTTTCTTAGTTGTTGGCTGTTATCACTAATCTTCGTGGGCCCCATGGTGACTTATTTATACGATTAATATAAGAAAACACCAAAAAATGCGAACAAAATGGTTTACAGCAAAGTTCTAGTAGGTCATGTTTGCTTGGTCAAGTGTCGAACAACCGGTCGACTACCAAGCGATTTTTTACTGAACAAAGTGCTCAAATACTGAAGTGTTTGATTAGGGAGCTGTTGGAACACCAAGGTTCCACTATACAAATAAAACTGACAATACAAACTATGAACATAAAATACACAACACAGATAAATACTTTTATTTATTTTTTTTTTTTTCAACAAGTCGGCCGTCTCCCACCAAGGCAGGGTGACCCAAAAAAGAAACAAAATTCCCAAAAAGAAAATACTTTCATCATCATTCAACACTTTCACCACACTCGCACATTATCACTGTTTTTGCAGAGGTGCTCAGAATACAACAGTTTAGAAGCATACACATATAAAGATACACAACATATCCCTCCAAACTGCCAATATCCCAAACCCCTCCTTTAAAGTGCAGGCATTGTACTTCCCATTTCCAGGACTCAAGTCCGAATATATGAAAATACTTTTATACCAAATTAAAATAACCAGCATCAGTTCAAAATCCCATTAAATTAATATCAAATGGTTCTCCTAAAATTTTTGCGAGTCCCTTACAGGCACCCCAGTAATTATAAAAACCACTACAAAATGTAGAGGCCAAAGCTGTGGGCAAACTGTTAAAATGTGTTGCACAGTTAACTGCAAGCCACAAGCTACAGAGAAGGGAGAGGCAAGAGCACCTGCTAATAAATTGTTAGGGGTGAGATGTTTGCACTGGAGATCAAAGGTGTCAACAAACATTCAAAAATCAAAGGTGTCAACTGAGATAAAGTGGTACATATGTCACTTGATGCACCAGAGATCAAGGGTCAGCCCAGAAATCGGGTGGAACAAACATCTCTTCATACACATATTAAATGTGTCAGCTATACAAGGCGGTAGTAGTTTGTGCCATAAAATGGCTGAAAATTGTAATAATGAAAGCATGGCATTCAATTCTAACCAAGCTTATTAACCCTTACTGACTTATTGTTAGGTCAATCACGAATCTGATCCTTAAGATTTCAAGCAGAAATATGAATTAAAATAACTAAATAACTAATAGGTTTAATTACACTCTTATTACTTATATTCTGTATATGAGGTTGTCTGGTTTTAATTGGAGACCCATACTCCCATATTACATATATTTGAAAAAAAAAAAAAAAAAGTGTGTGTGTGTGTGTGTGTATTTTTTTTATAGGTAGTAGGTTGGTAGACAGCAACCGCCCAGGGAGGTACTACTGTCTTGCCAAGTGAGTGTAAAACGAAAGCCTGTAATTGTTTTACATGATGGTAGGATTGCTGGTGTCTTTTTATTCTGTCACATACACATGCAAGATTTCAGGTACATCTTGCTACTTCTACTTACACTTAGGTCACATTTCACATACATGTACAAGCATATATACACGCACCCCTCTGGGCTTTCTTCTATTTTCTTTCTAGTTCTTGTTTATTTCCTCTTACCTCCATGGGGAAGTGGAACAAAATTCTTCCTCCGTAAGCCATGCGTGTTGTAAGAGGCGACTAAAATGCCAGGAGCAAGGGGCTAGTAACCCCTTCTCCTGTATATATTACTAAATGTAAAAGGAGAAACTTTCGTTTTTTTCCTTTTGGGCCAACCCGCCTCGGTGGGATACGGCCGGTGTGTTGAAAGAAAGATATATATATATATACAAGATTGTGTCTAACAGTAATATTGTGTTCTCTTTTTACTTTCATAATTATCTGTTCTGCATCCTTCAGCTCATTTGGTGTTTTTATGATCTTTTTATGTACGACTAGAAGGAGTTGAATTTTAATACAACAGTGTACAGAAACAACATCCCATCCTTTGAGGAAAGTTTATTTGAAGAAATAATGTAGCAAAAGTAATATGTATTGTATTGATAAACTTACAGCTTTTACTTTCTTCTTGGCTTTCTCTTCTAGCAGAAGAGCTCCACCTCTTGTGTTGAAGAGCCGACTTGGATCTTTGGCTCTGTCTTCCAATTCCAGCATGTTTTCAAATAAAGTTAGAAAACTGGCTACCATTCCTAGCAGTTCACTATTCTTAGTATAATACTTCCTCCATTTCTCAACCTCTTTTTCATACACACACATTATGTCTTCATTTGCTTCACCTGCTAAAATACATAAAATAAAATACATTACTGACTACACTCATGTTCACAAAATTTCAACAAGCTACTCCCATATTTGACACTGCACAGTCTTTCTCTAATGTTTGAGTGCAAAAAACTGAGGCACTACTCAAATCCTTGGATGTAAAAAAAAGTCTGTTGATGTTATAAGAATAAGGTTAGTAGTTTAAATGGAAGAGAGTAGTCAGGTATAAGTTAGGATATGCAGGGTTATGAAGGTTTGAAGGATTCTTGAGATGACATGGTCATGTAAAGAGGTAACAAGATAGGATGATAAAGATATATAGATCAAAGGAATTACATGGAGTTCCTTGTCCAAGAAATTGGAGAAAGGTGTAAAAGGTATCAAAAGGTAAGGTATTCAATGTTCAGCAGGCACATGTTAATGGTCCCTGGAATTTTACAGTGTTAAAATGTGAACAAGGCAATAACATTTGTGAAGGGATTCAAGAACGTAAAATATCAGCACATTAAGATGTAGGGCTGGACATTCAAGTTTTAGCAATAATACCAATATAAAAGGACAGTGCACAAAAAATAAAAAATTCTAACCTTGTCCACAATTTTTTTTTATTTTAATGCAATAACTTTGAACATTACAGCTCCTATAGTTTTACTATGATTAGTTAGAAAAAACATCATCGAATTTCTATTAACAATAAATCTACATGGAGAAGAGAAAAATAAAAATAGTATTACCCAACCTGAACTCATAGCTAGGATTCTCTCTCTCTCTTTTCGATCAACATAACATTTGTTCCACCACACCGTCACCTCCTCCTTAAGTTTTTCAACAAATAAGGACATATTCTGAAGCCGCAACAGTAGTAGTTTGTCAAGTTCTTGTTTCAGCTGTAAGTAAATATTATAAGGTAAATTTCACAAAAACCAGGAACTAAAAATGTTAACACATTTAAGAAACTTATGTGCCTCAAATGAGGCACATACCTCTTTACATGGGCAGCTCCAGAAGTTTTATATCGAAGAGGCTTAAGGGTTGCAATATCATCCTCAGTATTATTATTTAGGTGGACTCTGGGGAACTTCAGTCCTTTGTGTTCCCCCTTGGAGTTGTCCATGGCTCTTACTTTTTACCATAAATCTGATCATTTATTCCTGGGAATTAGTTTAAAAAAAAAAGAGGTACAATTGATGGGGAAGAAAAAGCATGCACTGACAAAAAATAAAACTTACTTTTGCTATGTTTGATGGTGTATGCTTAGGAGCAGTGGCCAGGAAAGCTGCTTGTTCATCATGAGAAACTTGCAACAGACTCCACAGATTGGAAATTTTTTCTCGAAGCTCCAGTGATTTTGCTTCATTTTCATGAACACGAAATTCAAGATCACTATGGACAGTCTGTGAAAAGTCCGAAATAATTAATAAAAGCACAACTACTTCTTAATCTATTTATAAATCACACTCTCAAGAATAGTTTAAATAGATAATAAAGTACAGATAAGACAGATGATCTACCACTAACATGCAGACCAAAGAGGCTGCATAAAATGAAGAAGCAAGATGAAGAGCTAGTAGAGGAATCAAGTAATTAACAAATTCAGGGATAATTAAGTCCTACTACATGTAGTACTGCCAATATAGTGAAGTTGCTGAGACAACCAAACACTAAAGTATTTTCTAGACAGCCATTCAAACACTAACTTTTATCAACAACCATGATAAGTGAAATAAAGATAAGGCAAGAGGAGAGTCTATATTCATATATTTGGGGTTTGGGTGCTGCCTAAAATGCTCACAAGAGCCTAAATGTAATAAAAAAATATTTTTAAAACTTAATTCCTAAAGTCCTCAATTACCCAAAAAAATATCAGGCACTTATTGTCAGAAACTGAGAGACAAAATGCACACAAACCCAATTTAATCCAATCTTAGATAACTTACCCTGAGCTGCTGTAAGTATGCTTTCCCAAGAGGAATATCTTCATCATCAGAGCAAATGACTTCTTGAATGAACGAGTCCTCTGGTGACTGCTCCAACTGCTCCAAGAAGTTAAGTAATCCTGCTTTCAACTTTTGAAAGGTTTTTTCTCTTTCTTCCTACAAACAAAAGTAATAAAAATTACTTCTAATTTGATCCCAAAAGTTTATTATCTAAGTACACTAGGAGAGACTCAACTGAAACAATTCAATACTATCATTTTTTTTTTTTTACTTCAACAGCCATCTCCCACCAAAGCAGGGTGACCCAAAGAAGAAAACATTCACCATTCATTTGTCATTCTTGCCAAAAGTGTGCTGAAATCACAATTCAGATTATGCTCCAACTGCAATATCCCCACCCTTCCTTCATAGTGCAAGCACTGGCCTTCCCACCTCCTTTATAAGAATTTCATTGATCACATTCTAACATCCATTAAAAAATCACTTGTCTATATCCCCTATCTAACTTGCTCACACAAGCTTGCTGGATGCTCAAGCCCCTAAAACTCAAAGCCTCTTTTAAAACCTACCCCTCCTACCTTCTGCTCCAAATATACACACACTGCCTTTATCATCCTATCCCTTCCCACTTTCTCTGCATGCCCAAGCAACCTCAACAACCCCTACTCTATCCTCTGAATTATACCCTTTGTGACCCCACATCACCTTTAACCCTTTTAGTGTCGATGACATAGTACTACAGTTTTGAACTCATCGTCGATGTAGTAGGACTATATGATGAGCTCAGCTCACTCAGACGAGCTGTGAGCGGTAAATTTTGTCTAGATATGAGAGAATAGGTCTATGCGATAAGTGTGTACCATATAATAAATCCTGCCCCACGCAGTGCAAAACGGGAAAAAACTCAACGTATTTTTGGTTTAAAACAGCGACTTTGCGGTGTATTTTCATTTAATATTTATGGTTGCATTCTCAGTTTCTTGGTCTCATTTGATAGAACAGAAGATATATTACAGAAATAAAGATGATTCCAAGTGGTTTCAGAACTGAAAGAAGCTTGAAATAGAGCTCAAACTAGTGGAAATGTTCGATTGAAATAGTTGAAATAGGTAAATGGGCATTCGCTAAATTTGCGAGAGCATAATTTCATAACTTCCCCATCAAATTTCATACTTTTGGTTTCATTACCATTGAAAAAAGATTCTCCATAATTTCATAAGAAAAATTTTTTTTTTTAAATTCCTGTACTCTGAGAGCAATTTTCAAAACAGAGGATCCAACCCTCAAAGGGTTAAAATTTTTGTTCTCTGAATTCTCTGCATGATATTCACACCACACTGTTTTAAATCAAGACATCTCCACTGCCTCTAATCTGAAGATGTCATGTGTGAGAGCAGCATGTAGTGTGAGTATCATGCAGAGAATTCCATCATCGTAGCTGTGACATTTACAGAGCATTCTGCTCAAAGGCATAAAAGAATTACAAAACACAATAAAAGCAAGGAAACTATGGCAAACAGTAAAAGCAATGAACAAACACTCACCACAAACAATAAATATTTTCATACCAAGTTAAAATAGCCAACATCACTTCAACCCCATTCCATTATTAATGTTAAAAGACACCCCTAAAAGTTCCCAGAGGTTCCTACAGGCATCTGGGTAATTATAAAAGCCATGACAAAGGGGTGATGACTTAAACTTGGGGCAAACTTAAAATATGATTCACAGTCACCAGTATGACATAAGATACACAAGAGAGGCACAGGAGCACCTGTGAACAGGCTATGGGCACAATGTATGTACCCGATCCTCAGTCAACAGATTCATTTCAAAGTGACAACTCCTGCTGGAGTGCCAAATACCTAGGTCCTCCCAAACCCTGTATAATTTGTTCCCAGTCTGCAGGGCCCACCACTTCCCAAGGATATTTCTGTGGATATGGCCCAAGAAGTAACTGTGAGGCAAAAGTCTACTGTAGAGTGGGCTCGCTACTGCAGGCTTCACCTCAGCATCCACATGTTCACTAATTACGACACCAACATGGCCTGGGCACATCCTTGTCCCATATGTGGAGACATGCCAACCACTTCTGCATCTATGGGACAACCAGGTGGACAGCAACATATTGAGCCAGAGCAAACAGGACCTACTGGGAATTCGAGGATACAGTGAAGCAAGAACCAACTATAAGAACCAGAGCAGTGAAAATCGTGTTGAGCTCAGCAGTGAGCACAAAGCAGAATTGGAGTGCAGAAATATGGAGTCACCAATGATTGAGGGGTTGATGACATGGTTTGGGCATGCACAGACGATAGAGGAATAGGATGACAAAATGTTTAAATCTGGAGTGTAAGGTAGGAAGGGAAGGAGTCTTTTACATACTCGTGTCAAAGTTTTCAATATCTATAGTCCTTATACAGTGTTGTGGGATCCAAGGAACTGTAGCTACCTTCCACTATCTTGGATCAAGCCTAATTACTCCAATTTTCCAAGTGCTTCCAGTGAATACAATAATAATGAAGAATGGAGCATGATTTTTATATCAACTTTTATTTTTTTGTTGTAAACTTTAATGGCTGAAAGATACATGTATGTTCACTATGTAATTTTCCCATCTACAAGCCTCAGATAAGATCTCAGATTTGAGCATTGAAATGAGAATTTCATAATACAATATTGTGAATATAATAAATTATTTAAGGAGAACTGAGGCCCAGTCTGGTCCCCAGTGCACCATATGTCAATCATTTAAGCTTACCTTTTCTTTCTCCATGGTCTTGACATGTTCTTCCATAGCATGCAAGTCTTCCCTAGATGGTACTAAGCCAGAGGGAATAAAATATGGAGTTTCGCATAACAGTTCACACAGACCCTGGAATAATATAATTTATCATAATTAAAATGGAAACTGATGATAATAAGATAAAGCATGTTAGAGATGAGTATATGGAGACAAGTGGTTTTAATGAACATGTTACTGAAGTGTGAGGTGGGTAACTTTTATGAAGACTTCAGATTCACAGAAAACAGTTATCCAGACTTGAGTCTTGGAGGTGGGAAGGGCAGAGCCTGCATTCTGAGGAAGGGTGGAGATTTAACAGTTGGAGGATAATCTGACTGTGATATATCCATACTTCTGGAATGGACAGCAACTGAGTAAAAGTTGGTGAATGTGCTTTCTTCTTTAAGTTATCCTGCCTTAGCAAGAGATAGATACTGAGTTAAAAATAACACTAGATGAATTTAGGTCACTGTGCAATATCAGAAAGGTATCCCTATATTCCAAAAGCCCAGCCTCTACTACCTAAATGCATTCAATGGGAATATTAAAGGGTGGTCACAAAATTCCAATGCAACAAAATATTAAGAGTGTGTGTGCATGTGAATTCCTATATGTTTCTGCACTTTCCCAAAGTAGTAGGATGATAGACAGCAACCACCCAGGGAGGCACTACTGTCCTGCCAAGCGAGTGTGAAATGGAAACCTGTAATTATTTTACATGATGACAGGATTGCTGGTCTTTCTCTCTCTCATAAACACACAGGATAACAGGCATATCTTAGTACTTCTACTTAAACTTAGGTCACACTACACATGCATGTACACTCATACACACCCATCTGGGTTTTCTTCTATTTTCTCTATTAATAGTTCTTGTTATTTATTTCTTGTTATCTCCATGGGAAAGTGGAAAAGAATTCTTCCTCTATAAGCCATGCGTGTTGTAAAAGGCAACTAAACTGCCAGAAGCAAGGGTAGCGCTAGTAACCCCTTCTCCTATATTAACCCTTTCAGGGTCACCAGGCCCTCTCCGAGACTTGTTCTCAGGGTCGCCCAAATTAAAAAAAAAAATTATTTTTCTTGTGAAAAGATAAGAGAATCTTTTCCCGATCATAATGACACCAAAAGTACGAAATTTGATGGAAAACTTACGAAATTATGCTCTCGCGAAGTTAGCGGTCTCGACGATGTTTACGCATCGGCGATTTTGCCCACTGAGCTCTATTTTCAGCCAATTCCAGTGTACTAGTCGACAAAAATCATAACTCTTTCGCTAGAACTCCATTTTTTCTATCAAATGAGTACAAGAAACCACCCATTTACCGATTTCAACTATCCAATAAAGTGGTCAGAATTTAGCAATTTTGCCAATTTCACACAAACTTCAAAAGATGCCAATTTCCAAATAGGGTCCAGAATAAACAAGAAAGACATTCCGGGCACTAAAATAACAAGTTATCTGTTCGTTAGTCACATCCCCAGGCCCCTCTTATATTTCTTTGGCTTTCCACTTTGAATTTTTATTCTTACAAAAAATAGAAGATTTACTGTTATGCAGACTACTGGATTAGTGTAGAAATGGTATAAATAATATCAGACTCACCAGTTGACGTGTATTGGACGCTTGGCATGATTTGTTTACTTTTGAACTTTGGTAAAAATCGAACATTTCTGCTACTTTGAGCTCAATTTCAAGGTACTTTTCATTGTAAAACCAGTCAAAATCATCTAAACTTCTGTAATATGTCTTCCATTCTATGAAATGAGACCAGAAAAACTAGAATACAACCATAAATACCATACAAAAATGCAATGCAAAGTCGCTGTTTTAATCCAAAAACACAAAGTTTTTTTTTATCATTATGCACTGTGTGCTGCAGGATTTTTTTATACTGCACACACTGACCACATAGACCCATTCTTTCATATGTAGGCCTACCAGCTTTCTCTCACTAGATCTGAGGGCGCTAGAATTTAGGCGTACTAGTATGTCAAAAACCCTGGGGCGTAAGCCGTACTAGTACAGCTGAAAACCTGAAAGGGTTAATTTCGTACTAAATTTAAAAAGAAAGACTTTTGTTTTTCTGTTTAGGTCACCCTGCCTCAATGGGATACAGCCAGTGTTAAAAAAAAAAATGTGCACTTTCATATGTACGCAGTAAAGCTCACCTATTTGTGGTTGCAGGGGTTAATTTTCAGATCCTGGCCCTGCCTCTTAACCTGCCATTCTTCATATTCATTCCCTCAGCCTTGTAGGCCCTATTGTACCTGTTCTTAACTACGTATGAAGCCTGCCTCTGCCCTTCCTCACCAAGATCATTTCACTTCCCACCCACCCTGAGAATGAAGAAATACACTTCCTAACATACCTGTGGCTCATCTGTGACTTAACTTCCAGCAGTGTCCTAAAGTTTCCATTTCTCGAACCTCTCAAACAGCTTATCCTTGCCTACCTTATCAATTCCCTTGTGTATTTTGTATGCTGTTATCATGTTCCCCCTAGTTCTTCTGTCCTCCAAGGTTGTTTGTTCCAATTCCATTAGCCTCTCCTCATAGATCATGCCCCTTTGCTCAGGACCAAGCCTTGCTGCATACCTCTGCATTTTCTCCAGTTTCTTAACATGTTTTTTCAGGTGCAAGTTCCATACTGGTGTTGCATTCAAAACAGACCTAACAAATGTTTCATAAATGGCCTGAAATGATTCTTTGCTGAGATTCTTGAAGGCTACTCTTAGATTTGCCATATGGGCTTTGGCTGCAGAGGTTATTTGGCTGATGTGAGCCTCTGGCAATATACTGGGCACTATACTCATACATATGTCTTCCTCTTAGTGTGAAACCTGCAGCCTCTGTCCCAAGTCTATACCATGTTGCCAGTCTTCCCATCCCTTGCACACAAAACTGCTTTTACCCCATCCCTCCAACCTTTCCTAGGATGACCCCACCCTGCCTTCCTTCCACTACAGATTTATACGCCCTCCAAGTAATTCTATTTCATTCCATCCTTTCTAAATGTCCGAACTACCTCAACAACCCCTCCTCAGCCCTCTGAATAATACTTTTAGTAACCCTGCACCTCCTAATCTTCAATGTACAGTCTCTCTGCATAATATCCACATCGCACATTGCCCTCAGACACATCTCCACTGCCACCTACTTTCCCCTTGTTGCAGCATTCACCAACTATGCTTCCCGCCCATATAAGAGCGCTAGTACCACTATTCTCTCATACACTCCCCTCTTTGCTTCCATGGACAACGTTCCTTGTCTACAGACTCCTCAGTGCACAACTCGCCTCTTTTGCCCCTCATCAATTCTATGATTCACCTCATCTTTCATAGACCCATCTGCTGACAAGTCCACTCCCAAATATCTGAATACACTCACTTCCTCCAAACTCTCTTCCTCCAATCTTTCATTACCTAAATTTTTTGTTATCTTCATTACCTTGCTCTTTCCTATGTTCACTTTTAATTTCCTTCTTTTACATACCTTTCCAAACGCGTCCACCAACCTCTGCAACTTCTCTTCAAAAATTCCCAAATGCACAATGTTAGCAGCAAAAAAACTGAGGCAACTCCCACTTTGTGTTAATTCTTTATCTCTTACTCCCACATCTCTTGCCAACCTAAGCATTCACTTCTCTTACAACCCCCATCATGCATCTAAGGCCTACTTTTACCCTCATCCAAATACTGTTCACCTATAAACTTCACTGTAAACACCTGGTCTACACACCCCCTACCCTTCCTAGAGCCTCCTTGTTCATCTGCAATCCTGTTCTCCGTCTTACTCTTAATTATTTCAATAATAACTACCATACACCTTAGTAGGTATACTCAACAGGCTTATTTTCCTATAATTTTTACACACTCTTTTGTCCTCTTTGCCTTTATACAAAGCAACTATACATGCTCTCTGCCAGTCCCTAGGTACCTTCCCCTCTTTCATACATTTATTAAATAAAAGAACCAACCATTCCAAAACTATATCCCCACCTGCTTTTAACATTTCTGTCTTTATCCCATCAATCCCACCTGCTTTACCCCCCTTCATTCTACCCACAGCCTCATGCACCTTCCCTACACTCACATTTGGCTCTTCCTCACTCCTACATGATCTTATACCTCCCTGCCCAAAGTACAACATCACAGCTTCCCTATCTTCATCAACATTTAAGTTCCTCAAAATATTCCCTCCATCTTCCCAATACTTCCAACACTCCATCTAATAACTCTCCTCATCTGTTTTTAACTGTCAAATCCATTTGTTCCCTAGGTTTTCTCAACTTATTTATCTCACTCCAAAACTTTTTCTTATTTTCAACAAAATTTGTTTATAGCACCTCATCTACTCTTTCATTTGCTCTCCTCTTACATTCCATCGCCACTCTCTTAACCTTTCTTTTTCTCTTCATATACCCTTCCCTCCTTATATCACTTCCATTTTGTAAAAACCTTTCACATGCTAACTTTTTTCTTATTTCGCTTTTATGCCATCATTCTACCACTCGCTCTTCTTCCCTCCTGCACCCACTTTCCTGTAACCACACACTTCTGCTGAACACTAAAACTACATTCTTAAATCTAGCCATACCTCTTCAGCCTCATTGTCTATACTCTCACTAGCCCATCTTTCTTCCAATAACTGTTTATATCTTACCCTTAGCTTCAGTGGGATACGGCTGGTTTGTTGAAAGAAGATCTTGCCCTGCCTCCTCCTTTAGTTTATAAACCTTCACTTCTCTTACTTGTTGATGCCATTCTCCTTGTATTCCCCTCTACCTTTTACTCTCATTGTAGCTACAACTTAAAAATTATTTGATATTTGTGGCCCCTCTATAAACATGCACATTCTGAAATCTACCCATCAGTCTTATTTATCAATACATAGTCCAACAAACTATGATCATTACGCTCTATGTCATATTTCGTATACATACTTATTAATCCTTTTTTTTTTCTTAAAATATGTATTGCCTATTACCAAACCTCTTTCTATACAAAGTTCAATCATTATTTACCCCTAGCACCCCTAAACTTACCTACCATGCCCTCTATAACCATTTTTCCCACTTTAGCATTCAGGTCTCCTACCACAATTACTCTCACACTTGGTACAAAATCTATTATGGGAATGGTCTATATAAAATTGAGCAGAGAGCATTCCTATACATGTCACTTGCTATATGAACTTTCACCTAGTAACAGTTGCCCAAATGCAGTTATAGAACTGCATTGGCCATCCTGCTGTATACATGGAAATGACAAACTGCAATATAAATGCACAAGGTCATACAAAATGAGACAGCAATTTAACCCTTTGACTGTCGCGGCCGTATATATACGTCTTATGAGGTACCGTGTTTGACGTATATATACTCATAAATTCTAGCGGCTTCAAATCAAGCAGGAGAAAGCTGGTAGGCCCACATGTGAGAGAATGGGTCTGTGTGGTCAGTGTGCACCATATAAAAAAAATCCTGGAGCACGCAGTGCATAATGAGAAAAAAAAAACTCCGACCGTTTTTTTTTAATTAAAATGCCAACTTTGTGGTCTATTTTCGTATAGTATTTATGGTTGTATTCTCGTTTTCTTGGTCTCATTTGATAAAATGGAAAATATATTATAGAAATAGAGGTGATTTTTATTGATTTTACTATAAAAAGAACCTGGAAATGGAACACAAAGTACGGGAAATGTTTGATTTTTGCCGATGTTCAAAAGTAAACAAATGATGTCATTGTCCAATAAATGTCCAAATAGCCATTCTAATATGCAGTCATGAATGGGTTGATGTAATTTTTACAATTATTACAGTATTGCAGTAGTCTGCATAACAGTAAATCTTCTATTTTTTCTTTGAATAAAATTTCAAAATAAAAAGCAAGAGTAATATCAGAGGGGCCTGGAGACATGACTGATGAACAAAGAAAATGTTATTTTAGAGCCAGGAATGTCTGCATTGTTCATTCTGGTCCTTATTTTGAAATTGTCATAATTTTTAATTTTCATGAAATTGGCCAAATTGCAAAGTTCTGACCATGTTATTGGGTAGTTGAAATCAGTAAATGGGCAGTTTCTTGTACTCAATCGATAGAAAAAATGGAGTTCTGAAGAAACAGCTATGAGTTTGGTTGACTGGAATAATGGAATTAGCCGAAAATAGGACTCAAAGTGGGTGAAATCGCCGATTTGTAAATATCGCTGAGGTCGCTAACTTCGCGAGAGCGTAATTCTGTCAGTTTTCCATCAAATTTCGTTTTTTTTTTTTTTTTTGGTGTCTTTACAATTGGGAAAAGATTATCATTTCATAAGAAATTTTTTTTTTTTTTTTTTTAACCCTTTGACAGTTTCAGGCCCCTTTCTGAAACTGTCATTCTATGTCGCTCAATTTTTGAAAAAAAAAAAATAATAATTTTTTCTTATGAAATGATAGAGAATCTTTTCCTGATGGTAATGACACCAAAAGTTCGAAATTTGGTCGAAAACTCATGGAATTATGCTCTTGCGAAGTTAGCGGTCTCGGCGACATATGCGTATCGGCGATTTCGCCAACTTTGAGCCCTATTTTCAGCCAATTCCATTGTTCCAGTTGACCAAACTCATAGCTATTTCTTTAGAACTCCATTTTATCTATCAGCTGAGTACAAGAAACCTCCCATTTACTAATTTGGACTACCCAATATGGTGGTCAGAAATTGGCAATTTGGCCAATTTCACGCAAACTAAAAGAGATGCCAATTTCAAAATAGGGTCCAGAATAAACAAGGTAGACATTCGTGGCACTAAAATAACATATGCTCTGTTCATTAGTCACATCTCTAGGCCCCTCTTATATTATTATTGCTTTCTATTTTGATTTTTTATTCATACAAAAACATACAAAATTTACTGTTATGCAGACTACTGCATTATTGTAAAAATGGTATAAATAATATCAGTGCACTAGTGAAAGAATATTAGACTTCCCAGTTGACGTGTATTGGACATGTGGTGTGATTTATTTACTCCTGAACATTGGTAAAAATCGAACATTTCCGCTACTTTGAGCTCAGTTTCAAGGTCGTTTTCATCGTCAAAGTAATGAAAATCATCTCTATTTCTGTAACATGTTTTCCATTTTATAACCTAAGACCATGAAAACGCGAATACAACGATAAATACTATACGAAAATACACCTCAAAGTCAGCGTTTTATTCCAAAAAAATGATTCAGTTTTTTTTTTCTCATTACGCAATGTGTGCTGCAGGATTTTTTTTATGTGGTGCACACTGACCACACAGACCCATTCTCTCACATGTGAGCCTACCAGCTTTCTCCCACTTGATTTGAAGCCGCTAGAATTATTGAGTATATATACGTCAGAAACATTGGCTCGTAAGACGTATTTATACGTCGAAAACAGTCAAAGGGTGCAATTTTGCGACACCAGGAGACACCTCAGGATTGGGGGTTGCGACAGTCAAGGGGTTAAAAATAAAGAAAAAACATGAAAATAAGAAAAAGGCGTTCATAGTTGTGAAATGATAAATGCATTAAAGCAACAATGCTGTCATCCTCTGGGGCAGCAGAGATTGGCATCTTGGTTACATATACAGTATAGAACTAACCTCATCCTTTTCTTGTAAGTGTTTGAGGGTTTCTTGTCTCTCATCTTTCAACTGTTGCAGTTTTTCCATTCTTTCCTGCATCATAGCATCCAATTCCAGCAAGGTAAGGCCATCCACAGACTCTTCAGATTCAACACACAGTTCCTGAACATGAGGAAATGCTTCTACTAATTAGAATCCAACAAATTCATATTTTGAGAAGATTAGTTTTCTTATGACTACAGCATGTTTACAATTACAGTTTTTGAGGTTAAACTATAGTTTTCTATAAGTCACACATAACAGATACAACTTCCAATATCCATTATTTTGCCGAGAGAACTATTTAGAGTAAAATTTGTTTTATCTTCTTGTCAATAAACAATAATAAATTCTCAGTTAAATGCAGTGAACAAGTGTATCCAACACTTGCATGTTGAAAATATAGATACTTCTTTATCAAACAGGTAAGCTACAGAAAAAAAAAAAAAAATTGTCTTGAAGGATGAGTAAATTATAAGCTTTGTCAGCCAGTCTTTACTTAACTTTCGAGAATACTAAAATCTACAATTTGAAATTTATGTTACAAGCAAAAATGTAGTTTCTTTTCCTCCCTTAATTCTGATTGTGAATTATAATTTATCTATACATTATACTGTACTTCCTTATATTATTTTTTTTTTTCAACAACTCGGTCGTTTCCCACCGAGGCAGGGTGACCCAAAAAAGAAAGAAAATCCCCAAAAAGAAAATACTTTCATCATCATTCAACACTTTCACCACACACACATTATCACTGCTTTTGCAGAGGTGCTCAGAATACAACAGTTTAGAAGCATGTACGTATAAAGATACACAACATATCCCTCCAAACTGCCAATATCCCAAACCCCTCCTTTAGAGTGCAGGCATTGTATTTCCCATTTCCAGGACTCAAGTCCGACTATATGAAAATAACCGGTTTCCCTGAATCCCTTCACTAAATATTACCCTGCTGACACTCCAACAGATCGTCAGGTCCCAAGTATCATTCGTCTCCATTCACTCCTATCTAACACGCTCATGCACGCTTGCTGGAAGTCCAAGCCCCTCGCCCACAAAACCTCCTTTACCCCCTCTTTCCAACCCTTTCGAGGACGACACCTACCCCTCTTTCCTTCCCCTATAGATTTATATGCTTTCCATGTCATTCTACTTTGATCCATTCTCTCTAAATGACCAAACCACCTCAACAACCCCTCTTCTGCCCTCTGACTAATGCTTTTATTAACTCCACACCTTTTCCTAATTTCCACTCTCCGAATTTTCTGCATAATATTTACACCACACATTGCCCTTAGACAGGACATCTCCACTGCCTCCAACCGTCTCCTCGCTGCTGCATTTACCACCCAAGCTTCACATCCATATAAGAGTGTTGGTACTACTATACTTTCATACATTCCCTTCTTTGCCTCCATAGATAACGTTTTTTGACTCCACATATACCTCAACGCACCACTCACCTTTTTTCCCTCGTCAATTCTATGATTAACCTCATCCTTCATAAATTCATCCGCCAACACGTCAACTCCCAAGTATCTGAAAACATTCACTTCTTCCATACTCCTCCTCCCCAATTTGATATCCAATTTTTCTTTATCTAAATCATTTGATACCCTCATCACCTTACTCTTTTCTATGTTCACTTTCAACTTTCTACCTTTACACACATTCTCAAACTCATCCACTAACCTTTGCAATTTTTCTTTAGAATCTCCCATAAGCACAGTATCATCAGCAAAAAGTAACTGTGTCAATTCCCATTTTGAATTTGATTCCCCATAATTTAATCCCACCCCTCTCCTGAACATTTACTTCTTTTACAACCCCATCTATAAATATATTAAACAACCATGGTGACATTACACATCCCTGTCTAAGACCTACTTTTACTGGGAAGTATTCTCCCTCTCTTCTACAGACCCTAACCTGAGCCTCACTATCCTCATAAAAGCTCTTTACAGCATTTAGTAACTTACCACCTATTCCATATACAGTGGACCCCCGGTTAACGATATTTTTTCACTCCAGAAGTATGTTCAGGTGCCAGTACTGACCGAATTTGTTCCCATAAGGAATATTGTGAAGTAGATTAGTCCATTTCAGACCCCCAAACATACACGTACAAACGCACTTACATAAATACACTTACATAATTGGTGGCATTCAGAGGTGATCGTTATGCGGGGGTCCACTGTACTTGCAACAAATTCCACATTGCTCCCCTATCCACTCTATCATATGCCTTTTCTAAATCCATAAATGCAATAAAAACTTCCCTACCTTTATCTAAGTACTGTTCACATATATGCTTCAATGTAAACACTTGATCTACACATCCCCTACCCACTCTGAAACCTCCTTGCTCATCCGCAATCCTACATTCTGTCTTACCTCTAATTCTTTCAATTATAACCCTACCGTATACTTTTCCTGGTATACTCAGTAAACTTATTCCTCTATAATTTTTACAATCTCTTTTGTCCCCTTTCCCTTTATATAAAGGGACTATACATGCTCTCCGCCAATCCCTAATATTATTTTCAAATTACTGTACTCAGCTGTGGAACAATAGTATGCAAGCAGAAACTTAGATAGGTGGATCCACTTACTTCACTGAGTTTCAAGATATGTCGAGTGTTTCGATCAATATTGTTGGTGATCCGAATTTTAAGTGCCATTTCATCGTCAATAATTTTATCACACAAATTCTGAAATAGAAAATAAAAATTAATAATAATTTAGGAATTTGCTCTTCTTGAGTGCCTTTTTTTCTAGAAGTTAACAAGCATTCACATACCAAGACATAAATAAAACAACAATGAAATAAAAATACTGAAGTCCATTTTCAAGAATGACACCATGATTATCAGGATCATAACCTCTAGAAAAGGGATGTGCACCTGAGACTTGAAAGCATGAGCTGATTCCTGGCTCTTAACAGTCAACTATTAAACAACTGGCAACTATTAAACAAGAAAAGGCTCTTTCTGCAAATAATTTCTCCCTAACAGCATGAAGCATAATCAATCTAAAAGTGGTCGATGCACATGAAGAGGTTTAGAGGGTCATCAGAGCTGATATCACAGTTCAGATTTGAGTTACCGAGATAAAATTTACAGAGAAACTCAGAGAAGGATAAGGTTATTTGACTGGCAAGCAAGGGGCACAATAAACAGATACTGAACAATAACTAGCAAAAATCATATCACTATCATAAATTTACATTAATGGTGCTATATACAATATTGATAAGTTGATGAATAAGATGCATGTGCAACACCTGAGTTGTTAAGGGCCACCATAGCAAAAAATGTATTGAGATCTACCTCCCAATTTTGTCTTTGTTGCCAAAATGTTTTGCATGTACAGTGGGCCTTTCTTTCAATCTGAAGCAGAGACAGGAAGATGGACACTTACATACTATAGTCAGATGAACTGCAGCAGTTAAAGGCATCATCAAAGGTGGGCAGGACTAACCAGTGAAAGCAGATCATGCCTAAGACTTAGACCAGAGGTTAGCCATAGCAACTCAGCATTAGTAGAAAGAAGTTGCCAGCTTATTGAAAGCTTCTTTGTTCAGGAAATATTTTTTATATTTACTGTTGGTTGCTAATTGGCTGCCATATCAATAACCTTTAACTGTTCATTACTATCTGCCAGATGAACAGCCAATTTCTTCAGAGGAACCAGTTAGGTGGACTAGTTTTGGAAACAGAAAGAACAGTGCCTGCCCTCTGAAGATTAGATGGGGATATTCTAATATAGCTACCAAGACAATGATCAGTGAATGTTAACATTATATTGGTGAGAAAGGGTTTAAGTGGTAAAAAAATTAGTGTTATTGTTTTCAGGCAATTTTGGTAACCCAAAAGGCTGTCATAAAAAAATAGAGATGGGACACTATCAAAATTTTTACCAATGCTTATACCAATACATGGTCGTAGGCTGATACTGGTACCATCAAAATTTGCCAGTACCCACCAATACTAATATCTTCAAAATTAGTCGATATCCACTTATACATACAGTAGAATCCCCATAAACATGGATTACCTCGACCCAAAAGTATTAAGGAGGATAAAATTTTGAGGTTTCATTTTTTATCCTTTTTTTTTGGGGGGGGGGGGCAGCAGCAGCAGGTGGCAGTGGCAGTGGAAGAACAAGATTGCATTTATTATAATTTAATGTTGGGAATGTCTTACTGTGTGTAATTTATCAATTAAATTTTTATCATAGGTATGTATGTACCTCCATGGGGAAGTGGAACAGAATTCTTCCTCCGTAAGCCATGCGTGTTGTAAGAGGCGACTAAAATGCTGGGAGCAAGGGGCTAGTAACCCCTTCTCCCATATAAATTACTAAATTTAAGAGAAACTTTCGTTTTTCTTTTTGGGCCACCATGCCTTGGTGGGATACGGCCGGTGTGTTGAAAGAAAGATGTATGTACGTACGTAAATGAAAAATGACTTGTATATAGAATTTCGAGCATCCACGGTAGGTCTTGGAACGTATAACCTGCGGATATGGAGCTAATGTACTCATTTGTATGCTGATACCATTACATCAAAATTAGCTGACACCCACTGACACCTGCACATATACTTTGGTACACCCATAACCCCTTAGCTGTAACAAGTGGGCAGAAAAAATTCCTGGTGTAGCAAGATTTTGATTAAAAAAAAAAAAAAATGATTTTTCTTACAATTCAACAGTGTATTTTTCTGAATCAAATACGACTAAAATGAGTGGAATCTGATAAAGACTTATGATTTTGTAGTGTGCTAAAATTGGTGAAAAAATTATCACTTATTGGCAACAGTGGCATAAAAGCACCAGCAATTATTGATGCCAAGACATGATTTTTTTTTTTTTTAATTGCTTTTAATGTTTAAAACTGTGGACCAGTTTCTTATGATATTGGATATGTTTCAATATGTTTTAGCACTTTAAACATGGGGAAATACTTGCCCGGATTTGCATCACTCAAAATATACGGTATAAATATGGTTTAATTTTTTTTTTTTTTTTTTTTTTTTTTTACTATTTAGTCTTCTTAGGCTATGTACAAGGAATACTTATAACATTACAATTGATTCTGAGTGATACATTACTTCTCAAAATATTGAAATAATTCATAGTGCTTGAAAATAAATGGTATAAAATACCGCCACAATGGAAACATAAACACATATGCAGTTTAATGTGATCCTTATTGACAACGTTTTGTCCACACAGTGGGCTTTTTCAAGTCACAAACAGATCTGTTTGTGACTTGAAAAAGCCCACTGTGTGGACAAAACGTTGTCAATAAAGGATCACATTAAACTGCATATGTGTTTATGTTCCATAGTGCTTGACTTTATTGGGTTAAACATATATACTGTTGGAGTGGTTGGCATTTTTGTTTAATAAATGTATGAAAAGAGGGAAAGGTACCTAGGGATTGGCAGAGAGCATGTATAGTCCCTTTATTTAAAGGGAAGGGGGACAAGAGAGAATGTAAAAATTATAGAAGAATAAGTTTACTTGACGTGCTATTGGAGTGTGAGCAAAGTAACATTTATGAAGGGGTTCAGGGAAACCGTCAGGCCGGACTTGAGTCCTGGAGATGGGAAGTACAGTGCCTGCACTCTGAAGGAGGGGTGTTAATGTTGCAGTTTAAAAACTGTAGTGTAAAGCACCCTTCTGGCAAGACAGTGATGGAGTGAATGATGGTGAAAGTTTTTCTTTTTCGGGCCACCCTGCCTTGGTGGGAATAGGCCAGTGTGATAATAAAAAAAAAAAAATAAGTTTACTGAGTATACCAGGAAAAGTGAACAGTAGGGTTATTATTGAAAGAATTAGAGGTAAGACAGAGAGTAGGATTGCAAATGAGCAAGGAGGCTTTAGAGTGGGTAGGGATGTGTAGATCAAGTGTTTACATTGAAGCATATATGTGAACAATATTTAGATAAAGGTAGGGAAGTTTTCATTGCATTTATGGGTTTAGAAAAGGCATATGATAGAGTGGGTAGGGGAGCAATGTGGCAGATGTTGCAAGTGTATGGAATAGATAGTAGGTTACTAAATGCTGTAAAGAGTTTTTGTGAGGATAGTGAGGCTCAAGTTAGGGTGTGTAGGAGAGAGGAAGATTACTTCCCGGTAAAAGAAGGTCTTAGACAGGGATGAGTAATGTCACCATGGTTAATATATTTATAGAAGGGGTTGTAAAAAAGATCAATGATAGGGTGTTGGGGAGACGGGTGGGATTAAATTATGGGGAATCAAATACAAAATGGGAGCTGACACAGTTACTTCTTGCTGATGATACTGTGCTTATGGGAGATTCTGAAAAGAAGTTGCAAAGGTTAGTGGACAAGTTTGGGAGGGTGTGTAAAGGTAGAAAGTTGAAAGTGAACATAGAAAAGAGTAAGGTGATGAGGGTATCAAATGATTTAGATAAAGAAAAACTGGATATCACATTGGAGAGAGGGAGTATGGAAGAAGTGAACGTTTTCAGATATTTAGGAGTTGACTTGTCAGTGGATGGGTTTATGAAAGATGAGGTTAACCACAGAATTGATGAAGGAAAAAAGGTGAGTGGTGCATTGAGGTATCCATGGAGACAAAAAACATTATCCATAGAGGCGAAGAAGGGAATGTACGAAAGTATAGTGGTACCAACACTCTTATATGGGTGTGAAGCTTGGGTTGCAAATGCTGAAGCAAGGCGGTGGCTGGAGGCAGTGGAGATATCCTGTCTAAGGACAAAGTGTGGTGTAAATATTATGTAGAGAATTCAGAGTGTGGAAATTAGGAGGTGTGGAGTTAATAAAAGTATTAGTCAGAGGGCTGAAGAGGGGTTGTTGAGGTGGTTTGGTCATTTAGAGAGAATGGAACAAAGTAAAACGACTTGGAGAGCATATAAATCTGTAGGGGAAGGAACGCGCGGTAGAGGTCGTCCTCAAAAAGGTTGGAGGTAGGGGGTAAAGGAGGTTTTGTGGGCGAGGGGCTTGGACTTCCAGCAAGCGTGCGTGAGCATGTTAGATAGGAGTGAATGAAGATGAATGGTATTTGGGACCTGACGAGCTGTTGGAGTGTGAGCAGGGTAATATTTAGTGAAGGGCTTTAGGGAAACCAGTTAGCCAGACTTGAGTCCTGGAAATCAGAAGTACAATTCCTGCACTTTAAAGGAGGGGTTTGGGATATTGACAGTTTGGAGGGACTTCTGAACTATTGTATATGAGCGCCTCTGCAAAAATAGTGATTATGTATGAGGTGAAGGTGTTGAATGATGAAAATATTTTCTTGGGGATTTTTTTCTTTTTGGCACACTCAGCCTCAGTGGGAGACGACCAAAGTGTTACAAAAAAAATATACATACTGTATAATTGTTTTTAATTCTATTTTTTTACTATTTTGGTCTTCTAAAGTTATATACGTATATGCAATGAATATTTATAATATTACAGTTATTTTAGTGTATAATATCCATCTTAACATGGAAATTATTCTCACTGATTAACTTTTCTGGGTTAAATATACTTAAGTGTGATATGACTATATTCCTATGTTAGTATATAATAAAACTGCAATAAATCTGGACTGAATAAGTCATCTTTGAGCCACTTGCACACCGCGTGGTGGCCTGGCGGCAAAAGCTCTCACTTCACACAGCAAGGGTCCGAGTTCAATTCATGGCGAGGGTGGAAACATTGGGTGTGTTTCCTTACACCAGTTGTCATGTTAACTCGTCAGCAATAGTGGGTACCTGGGTGTTAGTCGACTGGTGTGGGTTGCATCCTGGGACAAAACTGACCAATTTGCCCGAAATGCTCTGCATAACAAGTGGCTTTCTATATACTAGTAGTATGTCACTGATGTCAGCTAGGCCTGTATACCTTATACATGTACTTGTAGAAATAATTATATATTATTATTGCTTGCTGATTGGGAAGCTGGTAGTTGAACAACAGCTCCTGGTTCCTTTGTTTACTTTTGCTAGTGAGGCATACTAGTAAAGTGGACATAGTCATCCCCTGAGTAGTTAACCATGATACACTGTGTGCACCCTGCTGGCCTTAGAGTTTATTCAAATGTATGACTAGATGAAAGAAGACACAGAGTTGTGCAGAGGTTAAAAATATTGGGAGGGGGCAGTTTTGTGGGTACAAAAAATTGTACATACTCATACAGTGCTTATCACAGCATTATGCCGCCTCTCCCCAACACACCAAAACACAAACACATACCATGAGAGATTTAATATATCTGCACACTCACAAGGTTTTAATACTTGGTGCTGCATCCTTTAAGCTTCATCATGTCCCTCAGTCACGTAGGAAGACTCCCACAGAAATTCTTGAGGGTTTGGGAAGGTATATTATTCGATGCCTCATGAAGAGCAGCATCCAGCCGCAGGATGGAACCGACATCCTTGCCCATTAAATTTTGTTTCACTACTGACCAGAGGTTCTCAATAGGGGTCAGGTCTGGGGAATTGCCTGGCCAGTCATTAAAGAACCTCACTTCACAGTCCTTAAGCCACTGAACTTATAGTTTTGGCGGCATGACACTGTGCACTATCCTTCATAAAAACCGTAGCCCCACACTTGTCAACTGCCTCTAGTAAATTGTCATACAACTCCAGGTAATTATACTGGTTTTTGGGAAGCACAATGAGTTTACCAACACTGAGCACTGAAACACCCAAAACCATGAGCGAGTCTGGGTGTTTGGTGGTCCCACAGGTGTAGCGTGGGTCTAGCGGGTCACTATCTCTGGTCCAGTACATGTGTTCACTACGGTTACAGGTGACGGAGAAGGCTGCTTCATCACTCAAAAGTAGTTCAGACCACTGTTGAGGATCCCACTGAAGATATTTATTTGCATAATCCAGCCTACGTTTCTTCTGTGGCTTGGAGAGGATCGGTTTCTTAACCTGGTGGTGACCACTGTAGCCCAGTTGACACACGTCTGCTAACAGTTCTTACAGACACCTCTGAGAGAAGATGTGGGTTCTTTTCTTTCAATTCTCTAGCAGTTATCTTAGGTGTACTCTCTAACTGCTTCTTTAACACAGTTAAGGTATGAACAGATGTCTTCTTCGAGGAGCCAGGCTGAGGTTTGGCAGACAGTATCTCGACACCGCCACCAGCCTTGAAATGCTACACCCAGTTCCTCATTGAATGCTCACACACACCAACATTCTCCACTATTTCTTTCATCTGGTGCCTAGCTTTGTAAAGCCCTATGATTTGAGCTATAGTTTCAGGTGTTAAAGACTTCCTTTTACCCATAATCAAACATGTATAGCCCTAAAACCATAGGGAACACCAGACAAAATATGGGGTGGATGAGAGAAAAAAGTGCAACACTTCCTCGCATCACAGAAGCCACATGAGCACTGAGGAGTCACTGTGGAGTGTAGTGGCAGGCCGTGACATCATGCTAATGGCTGCTACCCGGCATACTGCACTGATGAAGAGACCCCCTCCCCTGTATGGTAGGCCTTTGATTTTTGTCATGGCGCTCACCTGGCATAATGCCATGATGAGCACTGTATGTATGTTGGACACAGTGTAGGCATCTGCATTCTAGTATGTTGAACACAGTTAAAGGGTTAAAAAAAAAGCAATGAGAATCAATTCACAACCTTACCGCAATGTGGCCATAAAAGTGCCTTCTTCTATCTTCACGCTGATCCTCTGTGAGTCCAATATCATCCCAGATAGCTTCAAGTCGAGCTAGTGTTCCATCTAGCTCCTCTTTTGTCGTTGATCTGAGGCTACAAATTAAGAGTAATAAATAAAATCTTATTAAGGTAGACTATACACACATACATACACATGCCTTGTGTATTGCCAAGTACAGCCTCTCCTCACTTAGCGACATACTCATATACTGATGCCTCGGACTTAAGATGGGCTCTCTGACCTGCATTTATACCTAAATAATGTATATTAGAGCTGATTTCCTCTATTCTGTTTATTCCAATATACAGTACACTAATGTATAAACATTTAAAAATATACCAGAAATATTATAGATGGTGCAAAGGTGACATTAAATCAATATCAAAGATGGTTAACACAAACCCACTACCATTATAGTATGCTCCTCACTTAGCAACGAATTCGTTTAACCCTTAAACTGTCCAAGCAGATCTACGTTCACATGCATAGTGCTCCAAAAGTAGATCTACGTTTTTTTTTACATATTTTCAAATATAACAAAAAAAGTAAATCAATGTTTTTTTACACGTTTTCAAATGTAAAAAATAAAAAGATCCACTTTTTTACATACTTTCAAATGTTGAAAAAACGTATATATACGTTTGGACCGTTTACGGGTTAACAATGTGGTCTAAGAAACGGAACTCCGTCATTAAGTGAGGAGAGGCTGTATAGCTACATGTAATTATTGACATTTGTCATGGGGGGAGAGGGAATTTTTTTTAGTTGCGGGTATCGTCAAAATCATCAGGTTGAGCTAATAAGAGTGCAAAATAAATGTGAGGAACTCTTATCTGTAAATATATACAACCTACCATTTAATACAAGTACACCTACCATCCGACTTACAACCGAGTTTGGTTCCGAGAAACCGGTCATAAGTCGAAATGGTCATTAAGTCGAACTTTACTACTGAATATCAACAAAACATTTTTGTAATGACTTTTTGTTTTATTTTGGTATTTCATGTTTTACTTTACTTTTTATGTTGTTAGTACTGTATTTTATACTGTAAGGTTTAGGATAAACACTGTGTACAACACAAATAGTTGTTTATTTCCCAGAAATTTGGCATAAAAAACATGGTTGTAAGTCGAGTGGTCGTAAGTCGAGCAGGTCGTAAGTCGGATGGTAGGTGTACTTGAGAAAGAGAAGATTTTGATAGGATAAATAAGGGACCACATAATATCCTTAGTGAACATGGACAAAAAGTTACAGTGCTAAGATAAAAAGTTGCTGTACATAGATATTTTAACTATAAAAAAAATAAATTAGGCAGCCTATGAGGGTGGGACTACAAATAAATGGCCAACAGATTTCCTCAATATAATGGCAGTTTTTCTTATGCATCAGTGTAGAAATGAAGCAAACAACACACCGTCAATACTAAATTTTGTGTTTACTCGAACACTGGAAGAAATTTAAAACGTGACCTGGAAATTTAAACCATGACCTGGAACATAATTTTCCACTGGGAAAGTAATGTTCTATAGAAAATAACACATGCAGTGGAATATGACTTTTGGAGATGAAAAAGAATTTCATAAACAAGAATGATTAGATTATACATAAAGGGAATTAGAATGCTTTAAAACAGTATTTCAGAGAAATTAAATGCAACAGCATACATGGGACAGATATAATCTCTACAGATCTGTAGTATGTATATATTAAAATACAGTAAAATTAACCCTTCGCTGCCTGACTCGTAGACCTGCATTACTGACGCCAGGGTTCTTCCCATAGATCTACATATTGAGCTCAATTCACTTAGATATGGTGAAAGCAGTAACTTTTGACCTGGATACAAAAATGGATCTGTGTGGCGAGTGTGAAGATTATAAAAAAAAATCCTGCCCCACATGGGGCATGATAGGAAAAGAAAAACTCTGACCTTGTGTTTTGTTTAAAACAATGACTTTGAAGTGTTTTCTGGGATGGTTTTTATGGTTTTATTGACTTTTTTTTTTTAGTATTATTTGATTGATTGTAGACATATTACTGAAACAGAGATGATACTGGTTGTTCCATAACTGGAAGAAACTTAAAATTTGCCTAAAATTTAAGTATTATTACTGTAATCATAACCAGTGCTAAACTCTCAAAAAATTAGGAGAAACATTCGATTTTTGGTGATTTTCTTGAGGACTGGTAAAACCTCCTACACTTCCCAGTCTGATATTGAAAATATCAGATAGAGATTTAGGGGTTATCATCAAAAAATTGTCACTAGAAGGTCATATATGAAATTGTATGATACTCATATCCTACAGTGGCAAGCTATAAAACAGATTTAAAATACAGTATATGGATACATTTTAAGCTAAAATTATAATATGAGGCAGTTGTGTAGTGCCCACAGGCAAGTTTAAAAATGTTCTAAAAAGAGCTACAAAATGGCTGCCATTATGTAACTCTTCCTTAAAGTTCTTGTTGCTGAGCAATACGAACTATAATGAAAGGCTGAAAACATTAAAGATGCCACTGCTGGCCGACAGGAGGAAAAGAGGAGACATGATAATGACATTTAAGGTTTTGAAAGGACTTGAAAGGAATAAAAAAATAACTTAGTACCTACTACAGGGGCAATGTGTGGTGTGAATATTATGCAGAGAATTTGGAGTGTAGAGATTCGAGGGTGTGGGATTACCGAAAGTATTATACAGAGGGCTTAGGAGGGTTAAAGTGGTTTAGACACTTAAGAGGATGGAGCAACCTAAGATGACAAGAGGGGGGTATATAAATCAGGGAAAAGGTGAAGGAGAGGAAGGTCCTTCTAGGAAAGGTTGGAGGAAGGGGTAAAGGTTTGGAGTATCAGGGGTTGGACATCCAACAGAACTGCGTGAAATATGGGAGTGTTTTTTTGACTGTGTTGTTGATGTGTGAGCAAGGTAATATTTATAAAGGCATTCAGGGATACAGGTTAGTCAGATTTGAGTCCTTGAGGTAGGAAGTATAATGTTTGCATTCTGAAGGAAGGGTGGGGATGCTGCAGTTGGAGGGTCATCTGAATTGTGATATCAGCACACTTCTAGCAAGACAGTGATTGCTTGAGTGATGATGAATGCAGTTCCTCTTTTTCGTGTCACTCTACCTTAGTGGGAGATGACTATTAAGAAAAAATATTAATGTAAATATAAATTACACATACATGCATAATATATATTACACAGATATGTATATACAAACAGTATACACGTATACATGCAACACAAAATACTCTGGCAACAGGTAATTTAGCTTTTCTAAATACATATATGATAATCAGGGAAAAGTTCAAAACTCGTAGGGATCATACAAGGCATGAGGAATGCAAAGCAATCAGGTTATATCCAAGGAACGAATAGGTTCACTCCCTTGGATCAAGAACCCCTCACCAGCATCAAGGAACCTTCCTTGAATAGGCTAGTTGAAGGTGGCTGCCTTGCCCGCCTTCACACTATACTTCACTTAATACCCGCTGCATTACCTCCAGGTGACTTAGGGATGAGTGGATATCATCCATGGTCCAGCTAGTATAGTATACTCACCTGGTGTCAGCCATGAGGAACCAACATAAAGGTTTAACACATTAAGTATCACCACGCTGCTGTTACTTCAATGTTTGAACTGCTGCTGGTGTTTACATGGCCGCCGCTCCTTGCCACACACCGCTACACTCATCTACTTTCAACCTTATTGCTAATTTTATCTACCCTCTGCTACTTCTCTTTTATATAATTTTTCTATCTGGGATATAAATTTTAAATTCTGTTACATAAAGCGTTAGAAAATTTAGAGCAATCACGATGATTTAGAATAATGTTAAATTATTATCTGGTAACTAGAGGAGTCTAACTAGGGGCAACAAACTTAATAAATAATTAGATCTCGAATTCATAAATAAAAACAAAACTATTTAGTAGTAAATGATGCAAAAATATTTTTTTCTCCATATTCACTGAAATGGACTTAGTATATAGTAATGAATCATTGGAGAGGGAAGGTTGCAATTCCTGAATATTCTTGTTTGAACTTGATTCGGGATGGCTATGGTAAGTAAGTAAGTAAGTAAATTTATTCAGGTATACACAAATACAGTTACATAGAATTATCATACATAGCAGCATATGTGTAGAGAACCTAGGATAACCCAAAAAAGTCAGACAGAGTGACTTATTTCCATTGGGAAATGGTGTGCATAGACCCCTCAAGGAAGGTTCCTTGATGTTGGTGAGGGGCTCTTGATTTAGGGAATTGGATCTGTGCTCCAGTTCCCCGAATTAAGCCTGAATGCCTTCCACATCCCCCCCCAGGCGCTGTATAATCCTCCGGGTTTAGCGCTTCCCCCTTGATTATAATAATAATATGGTGTGCATAATAATAATACAATGTCTTTATTTCTACAAATTCATGTACATGGTATACAGACCATAACTGACATCAATGGCATACTACTATATAGAAAACCCCTTGTTATGCTGAGCATTTTGGGCAAATTAGGTTAATTTTGTCCCCAGGATGTGACCCACACCAGTCCACTAACACCCAGGTGCCCATTTTATACTGAGGGGTGAACATGGACAGCAGGTGTCTTATGGAAACACGTACTAATGTTATCCAGCCGCATAAAGATATTAAACTAACTTCTCTCTCTTTATTCTTCTTTTAAAGTTGTTAATGTATATAATGGAAGAGTCGTGTGTCTACCTGTATATCATACCATGGGCGATCAGTCATAAAACTCAGGGGTTCTAACCCCTCCCGTGGTATGGTTTGTTTGCCATCGTGTAATTGCGATTTCGTGAGTCATAACTAGCTGAAGTAGATAAAGACAAAAGCAGTATGTGGGAGCTTTATTCGTAGTTTTGGGTGTGTTACACCTGACTAACCTGGTCAATAGGTCTAATGCAGTGTTCCTTCCTTCTTAGGCGGATGTGACTTGGACCTGACTAGCTTAGGCCAGTACGTGACTTGGACCTGCCTAGGATGGGCTAGTAGGTGACTTGGACCTGCCTAGGATGGGCTAGTAGGTGACTTGAACCTGCCTAACATGGGCCAGTAGGTGACTTGGACCTGCCTAGCATGGGCCAGTAGCCCTGCTGCAGTGCTCCTTTTTATGTTATGTCTGCACAGCAAGTTGTTTTATAATTACTATCTGCCATTGTCTAGTTTTCAGTTCCAGTGGTTTGTGTGTGTGTCTGCTCACCTATATGGGAGCTGTCGTACCTACTTTTAAAACTGAATTAACTACTACATTCTGGTGGTTGTTTTCCTGACTACCCTGAAGCTAAAGAAATACAGTACAATACTTTCCGTTAATTTTATAACTAATTTGTGCATTAACTATACCCCCAGCTGCCCGAAATGCCTAGGCATGCTAGAGGCCTTCCTTGTAATTAATATTTTATATGTAAACCACACATTGTACGCAGTGCAAGGAAATAAACATTTATTTATTTATATTTATCTGTACCCGTTTCCCGCCTCAAACATATATGTTGTATGATCCTGGAGAGGGTTTCGGGGGGGTCAACGCCCCTGCGGCTGAGTTTAGCACTTTTATTTTATTACAATAGTAGTCAAAGTCCATATCTGTCTACCTTACGCCATCTCCGAATATTTTGTATATTGTTATTGTGTCCCCTGCGGTGGGCACCAACAGCCTGATCAATTAAGCCGACATAGTACGTTTAGGTGCATGTACACATTAATATTGCAGATTACCATATATAGTAATACAAATAACAAAAAAAAAAGGCCCAACACCGTGACTGGAACGATACCCAAATAACCCACACATGAAAGCGAGGAGCTTACGACGACGTTTCGGTCCGGCTTGGACCATTTAGTCACACTCAGTGTGACTGTAAATGTAAAGTAAAAGGACACAAGTGCAACTAATGTGACATTTATTGTGGCAACGTTTCGCTCTCCAGGAGCTTTATCGTAATGGCTTGATAAAGCTCCTGGAGAGCGAAACGTTGCCACAATAAATGTCACATTAGTTGCACTTGTGTCCTTTTACTTTACATATTGTCGGTAATTCTACCAACTTTATTACTGACTGTAAATGGTCCAAGTCTGACCGAAACGTCGTAAGCTCCTCTCTTTCATGTGTGGGTTATTTGTGTATAGTAACATGTGTAAATTACCCACCAGGATAACCCAAAAAAAGTCAGTGACTTAGTTCCTTTGGGCCTCGGGGGCGGTGACCTCTGAAGTGACTACAGTAGGCAACTTATTTCTTCTGTCCTGTAATGTCGGCAGGTTCGGCTCATACCCCTTTACTCTAGAGGCCTCACTGCGTACCTAGAAATTATTATAATCATGGGGGAGTGCTAAACCCTTAAGATTATACAGCACATGTGGGGGGGGGGTGGAAGATATTCAGGCTCAATTCAGGGAACCAGAGCGGATCCAATTCCCTATATCAAGAGCCCCTCACCAGTGCCAAGGAACCTCCCTTGAGGGGCATGCCTAGAAAATAAGGAACACTGCAATAGGTCTACTGGCCCATGCTATGCAGGTCCAAGTCACCTACTGGCCCAATACAGTTGGGTCCAATTCACACCCACTCATATATTTGTCTAACCTGTTTTTAAAACAACATTTTAGCTTCAGTAACATTATAATAATCATGGGGGAGAACTAAACCTGTAGGATTATGCAGCATATGTGGGGGGATGGAAGGTATTCAGGCTCAATTCAGGAAACTGGAGCACTGATCCAATTCCCTAGATTAAGAGCCCCTTACCAGCGTCAAGGAACCTCCCTTGAGGGGTTCAGTAACGTTACTCGGAAGTTTGTTCCACTCATCCAGAACTGTTGCCAAACCAGTGTTTCTTAACATGCTTTATCAGGTGTGGGTTCCATGCTGATAAGTTAGACACACAGGCAACATTTAGGCATCTTTATTCCGAAACGTTTTGCCTACACAGTAGGCTTCTTCAGTCGAGTACAGAAAGTAGGCAGGAGCAGTAGAGATGTGAAGACAATACACAAATAACCCGCACATAGAAGAGAGGAGCTTACGACGACGTTTAGGTCCGACTTGGACCAGTGACTTTGTAAATGGTCCAAGTCGGACCAAAACGTCGTCATAAGCTCCTCTCTTCTACGTGACGTATGTGACATCTCGAGACACGTTGACAGTAGCCTCAAATTCCAGACACATATACATGCACAACAAATTTCCAAGAAAATCTCTAAGACAGTAGGCATACTATCAAAGATACGGTACATACTGTTCCACAATCAGCTCTCCTTGCACTGTATCATTCACTCATCTACCCTTGTCTCATATATGGAATTTGTGCATGGGGATCAACAACATTAAATCACCTAAGATCACTAATAACCCAGCAAAAGGCTGCAGTCAGAATGATAACAAATTCCCACTCCCGACAGCATACTCCACCAATATTCAAAAGTCTAAAACTGCTCACCATAAAGAATATCCATACTTATTCTTGTGCCTACTACATACATAGAACACTACACTCAAACAAAAACTCTCCACTCAAACTTCTCACCAACCTTAACAGGACACACGACCATAACACAAGACATGGATCACTTTTTGATGTACCTCATGTCCATATCACACTAAAAACTCTATGCACATAAAGGGCCCCAAAATTTATTACCAGTAAATACTAAATTATTATTATAATCAAAAAGAAGCGCTAAACCACAAGGGCTATACAGCGCTGCAGGGCAGGAAGGAAGCGAGGGTATCAGGTGGCAAAAGGGAGATGGACGAGTAATAGGTTACGGAGAACAGTGGGGCAGTGGATGGTGAAAGGGTAGAGGGCAGGAAGAGATTGAGGTAGAAAGAGTTGAGGGGAGTGCGAAAGGTATCATCATCAGAGTTTGTGGAGTAAATCAGTCATCAAGAAGTCAATGAGAGAGTCAGGATTAAAGGAGGGTCCATCAGCAAGAAGGGAAGGTAAAGAGAGAGTAGTAGAGCGGAGACGACGTTGGAGGTAAATTCTGCGTGCTCGTTGATAGAGAGGGCAGTCTAACAGAATGTGGCTAATCGATACTGGAACTTGACACTACTCACAGAGAGGAACAGGGTGCTTCCATCAGTAAGACGAGTGTGGCCAATGCGAAGGCGGGAGAGAGTAGTCTCCCAACCTCGGCACTGATGACAAGAAGACGGCCAGTAACCTATGCTCGGTTTAATAGAATGAAGTTTGCTACCGAGCAGAGTTGACCAACGTTGTTGCCAACGGGTGTGAAGGTGGGTAGCTATTACAGCAAAATAGTTCGGAAATGGAACACCTCTATATGAAATTGGTAGGTCATGTACTGCTGACCGCGCAGCAGTGTCTGCCTGTTCATTGCCCTGTATGTCAACATGACCAGGGACCCAACAAAAAACAATATCTTTATGTTTGGTAGAGATATGGCATAGCCAAAGTTGGATACGGAGAACTAGGGGGTGAGGTGTATCAAATTTCCATATAGCCTGTAGAGCACTAAGGGGGAGAACCACAAATGATGACACAGGCATAGATGCGATATGAACAAGAGCTGCAAGAATGGCATACAATTCAGCATTAAAAATGCTAGCCGAAGACAGTATGTAGATGCCCTCGCACGATGCTGTCCGGAAACAATGCTGCGAATCCGATGCCATCAGAAGACTTAGAGCCATCTGTGTACACTGCGATGGCATGAGAATGAGAGTGGAAGTGGTCA